TCATCTCTCCCTTCTCAGGAACTGAATGGCACTGGGGGTTGGAAGGACCATTTATCACTTAGCTATACTCTAGCACCTGTCCAGGTTTCAGGTTATTTCCTGCCAGTAGATTGTGAACTCTGGACAGTTACCATATCTGAATTTTCTTTGTCTCCCGACATACAATTGGGCACACAAGAGACATTAATAAAAAATGTGTTGATTGGAACTGTAAATAATGGAGTTAGTGATGTCATATATAATCATTTGGGTTTGTTGATGGTTACTAAGTTTAGAATAAACAAATAAAAATAAAATCTGTTGATCTATTGAATGACATGCCCACTGATGCCCTTGGCCATCACTCTGACTCCACACTGCCATACAGGGCCTAATCACCTTTATAACAAGAGAGGAAGAAAAGTAAAACTGATTCATGTGTCAGAGGGAGGTCGGCCTTTCTCCATACTTAGGAGGCAACAATCTTTGTCCCAATCTGACATCTCTCCCAGGGACAGAAGATGAAGAATGAGGAAGTGGAAGGACACTCCCACATTCACTTACCTCTTATCCTCCTCCACCTGGACCCCGATGGAGTGGAATTCTCTCCGGCTTCTTGTCTCTGTGTCAGAGTCTGAGATGGTCTCTACCTGAGAGGGAAAAGAGACATAGAGTAATAACTCTGCCCTATATCCAGTAGGCCCTTTCCTTGAGGGAGTAAGCAGTAAAAACTTCCCAGGGAACAGTCAACTAGCTGGCACCGGTCCCCCAGAATCTCTCTGACTAAATAGAATATCAATTGAAGAGAAGAAGTATGTGACGAGTCTCCCACGATAGCCTGTGAATGAGATGGAGGGATGTAAGCTAAAGAAGCATACAATGTGGCAGATTTGGAATGGATAGAATGACTGAATCCATTAAATGGTCATGTTTACCTGGAGGAAGGTTTCTAATGGAGTGCCCTAGGTCTCTGTTCTTGCCTTCATTCTGTTTGTTTTTTAAAAATTACTTGGCTGAAGACATAGATGATACACTTATTAAATTTGAAGAGAGAAGACATGAAACTGGGAGGGGCAGCTAATGGAATCAGAAATCAAAAGATCTAAGGCTAGAACTTTAGGGCAAATCTAAAAAAAGAAAAGAAAAGAAATTTAATTGAGATAAATGTAAAGTTTCACACAGGTTCAAAAAATCAACTTCACAGGTATAAGATGCGAAAGGTGTAACCAGATAGCAAGTCATCTGAAAAAGATTTAAGGATTTAATGGAATGTAAGCTAAAAATGAATCAATAGCAAGATGTGTCAGCCAAAAAAGCAAAGAAATCGATAAAAGGAGCACAATGTAGAAAGCAAGGATGGTGATAATCCCACTATATTTGCCTTAGTCAGACCATACCTAGAATACTGTGTTGAGTTCTGAGCACTAAATTTTGTGTGGTGGAGGGTTATATCCAAAGGTGTGCTGGAACCAAGCTCTAAATAGATTGGGAGAACCAATAGTTAAATTTCTAGTGTGAGCATTTATGCCTCAGAAATCAACAACTGCTATATCAGGGCTTAAGTTATTGTTTTACAATATTTATTTATTATTTAAATTATTTTATATTTTTATTTTATATTATCTTACTTATTTGTGTGTGTATGTGTTTATTATCTAGACTAAGAAAGTATTAATAATGTAGATTAAACTTAAATGTGTGGGTGCATACCTTTTTTCTAGAGAGCCTGGTTGTTAAACATTTACCAGCACACTCCTATACTGCTCTATAAATATTGCTTGAGTCCGACAGGAGGGCAATAGAACACCCAAGGAATGAAGTCATCACCAAATATGAGGTGACTGTAGGCTAAGAATAATAGTGACTGACATTTATATAATGCTTTAAGGTTTGCATAGGGTTTGATATCCATTTTCTTATTTGAACTTTGCTACACCCCTGGTTATAGCTCTGCTGTAGTTGACTGGCTATCAACCACAAATAGCCAACTATCTTCAATTATCTGAATGGCTGATCCAAGAAGAAGGGAGCCAAACTTGAAGCAATAGCTGGAAGTTGCCAAGAGGTAGATTTTGACTTGATGTACAGAAAAACTTCCTAACAATTAGAGCTGTCCGCTCTTTTTGTGGTGGCCAAGAATTGGAAATTGAGGGGATGGCCATCCATTGGGGAATGGCTGAACAAGTTGTGGTATGTGAATGTAATGGAATACTATTGTGCTATAAGAAATTATAAGTGGGCTGACTTCAAAAAACCTGGAAAGACTTGTGTGGACTGATGCTGAGTGAAGTGAACAGAACCAGGAGAACATTGTACATAGTTACAGCCACGTTGTGCAATGACTAATATTGATGCACTTAACCCTTCTCAGCAATACAAGGATCTAAGACATCTCCAAAGGCCTCGTGATGGAAAATGCTATCCACAAAGAAGACGGAACTATGGAGTTTGAATGCAGATCGAAGCAAACTATTTGCTATTTTTTTTTCTTCTGTAGAGTTTTGTTTCCTCTTTCTGGTGGTTCCTCCTATTGGTTCTAATTCTTACTTACAACATCACTAATGTGAAAATATGTTTAATAGGAATGTATATGTATAGCTTATATCAGATTGCACGCCGTCTTGGGAAGGGAGGTGGGGAGGGAGGGGGAGAAAAATTTAAAACTCAAGCTTATGGAAGTGATTGTTGATAATTCAAAATAAATTAATTTTAAAAAATTAGAGCCGTCCCAATGTGAAATTTGTTGTTGCTGTTGTTTTCAGTCATGTCCAACTCTTTGTGACCTCATTTGGGGTTTCCTTGGCAAAGATACTGAAGTGGTTTGCCATTTCTTTCTCCAGCTCATTTTGCAGATAAGGAAATTGAGGCAAAGAGAGTTAAATGACTTGCCCAGGGTCACACAGCTAGTAAGTGTCTGAGGACATATTTGAACTCAGGAAGACCTCTTCCTGACTTCATGCCCGGTGCTCTATCCACTGTGCCCCTTACTGCCAATGTGAAATGGGCTACTTCAGAAGATACCCTCCACTCTCTGTCATGACTCATCTTCAATCAGAAGCTGGAAAAATACCTACCAGCCATGGTATAGAGGAAATTCCTGCTCAGGTAAGGATTAGACTGCATGGACTTTTCCATGTATAGACTCCAAGGGCCTTTCCAGCTCTAATATCCTGTAAGTCACGAGGACTAAAAGCCCTGGTCATAGAATCCAGCGAGAGGAGAGAAGACCAAGGTTCTGGCTTTGGAACCTATTTCAAGCTGAATAGTACAAGGAAGGTACTTACAGGTTGGGATAGGATCAGTTTGCTCTCAAGGCAAGATGGTGGAGTCATGGGTAAGTCAGGCTGAGAGCACAGCCACTCCCATTTCTATAGCATTTTAAATTAAGTCATATAATAACTCCATTTAACATATGAAGAAACTGAGGCTCACAAAGGTGAAATGACTTGTCCAAGGTCACACATCTAGACCACTATAAAGTCAAAATTTGAATATAAGTTATCTGACAACAAACCTAATACTCTTTCCAATACACCAGGTGAGTTGTAAGCTGGGTAAGAGGGATATTAGAATGGAAGTTGTGCTGGGCATTAATGGTTAAATTAGGGATACCCCAACATGCAATTCCTAGACTCTATGAATTTAATCCAATTCAGTTCAACAAGAATTTATTAAGGGCTTACTATATACAAGGAACTGAGCTAGGAGATGAGGTTACAAAACTGAAAAACAGCTCTCACATTCTGCTGGGAGTTAGAATATGTAAATAGATAAGAAAATACAAAAAATATGACACTATTTTTGAAGGCTATGAAAAATTGCTTCAGTCTGAGAATTATGTAACCAAGAGACGATCTTTAAAGTTGCTACATTTAAGGACTTATTAACAAGACACAAAGTGTTGGTGGCAGAATTCTTAGAACAAAATTAAGAAAACGCAAGACAAATTGTTGAGAAGGAAATTTCTAACTAGGGAGATCAAGGAAGGCTTCCCATGAGTGTAATAGCTAAGCTGAGCCTTGAAGGAAGCAAAAGATTCTAAGAAGCAGAGATGAAGAGGGAGTGGGTTCCTGATATGAGGAACAACCTATACACAGAGCCAGAGATAGGAGATTGAATGTCAACTTCAAGGAAGAGAAAGGTGGTTCATTTGGCTAAAATATAGAGTGCATGAAGAAAAATAATGTCAAGTCATGGAAAGGTAGGCCAAAGTCAGGTTGAAGAGGGCTTTAAATATCAGAGAACTCTTTGTATTCTATCCTGAAAAACAGAGAACCCAAAACAAAATTAATTCAGTTGGTACTCCCATCTTATATTAATTCCCCCATACCTGTACCCCAATGGAAGGCCTCCATTTACGCTGCCTGGCCAAGCTACGAAGCTCTTCCCTCCCAGGGATGGTCTTGATGATGAGGGTGGGAGGTTTGGGACTAGCCCGAGCTGGGACTGGTGCCAACTCAAGGGTCCGGGTCCCTGTTGGGGGGCCATCCAAGCCATCAGCAGAGCTGCAGCGCCGGGTGGGTTCAGGAGCCCAGGTGGGGCCCTCAGGGGGTGGGTAGCTCTCATGGGCAGAATCGGTACTGCTCTGGGCCGTGATGGAAATGCGTGGTGGAGTCTGTCGTCCTGCAGGGATGGGCGGTGGGGCTTTTCTGAAGTTAAAGGCTGTGGCAAGAAAATTGACCAAAACATGAGATTATGGACACAATGTTACTTGACCTGAGGCACATGTGACCGCATGTAAAAACGTGGGTAACACATGGATAGAATAACCAGCAGCATGCAGACTCTAGGTAGCTTAGTAATAAATGCAGTTGCCTTTTATGAAGAACATTCTGTTGTGATGTGTTTTCCCACCCATTCCCTCATTCAATCTTTACAACAGCCTTGTGGGACAGGGGAGAAAGGGAGTGGGGTGGTCAACAGGACAAGTGCATTATTCCCATTTGACAGATGGGAAAACTAGGTCTCAAGGAAGGGAAGTACATTGCCCAAGGTCACATGGCTAGTAAGTAAAAGGTATGGGACTGAAACCTAGTTCTGAGTCCAGCAGGTGGGGCTGGCAGGTGTTATATTCCAAGAGAAGTCCAAGGTTGGACTTCTCCTATGGTCTCCATAGCCAGAGACTAAGACCCAGACCTGCACATGAGTAACAAGCTATCCTTGTTTAATAACTTGTCCAAGACACAGATGCATGCACATACATAGCATTCTCCCCTTATGTACCCCTGGCATCTCTGGGATAATATTCTCCATTTTGCACATGGAGAAACCAAGGCTTAGAAAGAAGTGGCTTGCCCGTGACCACACAGCAGAGGAGGGATAGCGCTAAGTCTAGATCCCAGGTCTCCTGGCTTCCAGCCCAGAGTTTCTTACTCATCCCCAAGGTCAGCTGAATCAGGGGGATAGGCATAGGGAGTACTCACAGGTGCTGGACTTCAGGACGCTGCTTGGCCCTGCTCCCATGGGGGCAGTGAGGAGGGGCAGGCAGTCATCATCCTGTGAGCAGCCGGCCTGGATGGCCCGGAGGTAGCTGTGGCTCCTCATACGGAAGCAGCCGGGTAGGTCCAGGGCGTCCACTGCCTGAGACTCAGGCTCCCCAAACACTGACCCACACACGGCCTCAAACTGCTGGCTTAGCTCCTCGCTGAGCTGGTGGAGGTACAGGAGTGGGGGGATGGGTCAGGGAGGAGCATCCTGAGTAGGGCAGCCCATACCCCAACACTCTGAAGAACCGTAGTTGGAGGTCGTTAACATATTCATGTTCACAGCCTACATAAATCATATGTCTAACTGCACTCCTCTCCTCCATTTGAGCTAAATGAAATCTTTGGGGTTTCTGCCCATCCCTATACCCAAGGCTGGCCCCTCTGCAGCCAAGTTCCCAGCCCCTCACATTCCCTTTGAGAGTGCCCTCATCTCAACTAGGCAATCAGAACCACCATGCCTCCCTTTACACACACCTCCTAGGGCCTCCCAGGATCCCAATGTCCCATCTAAATCTGCCCTCTCAGAGCCCTGTTCTCGACTTGCTGGCCAGCAGAATATAAAATCACACTGAATTTTGAATGACTGATGCCCTTCCCTTGACATAATATCCCTCCCTCCAAGGGGACCTTGACTTTTAAAAGGTGCATCTTATCCTTAAACCCAAAGAAATTAATTTCTAATAATGAAAAATCAAGCCTAATTTGGCAGGGAGAAATAATGAGGGTAGGTCTTAGCACTCCCTTCACAACGATAATTCTGGCATGATTTGGCAGAGGCCGAGAAGGTGCACCCCAGAAGGAGGCATCATTACCCCTTTTCCAGACTATCTCAATAGCCTCTTAATGAGTCTCCTCCTCTCTCCTGATCTTCCCTTCACACTAACACCAAGACAGTCTTTATTATGCACTGATGACCTGAATGAAAAATCTTGGGTTCTCTTTCACCAACTGGGTAAAGTGTTAACCACTTTCTGACATCCAAGGCCCTCCCAAATCTGGCCCCACCCTTCCTTTAGAGGCTTCCCCTCCACACACTGTATGCCTCAGCCAAAGTAGACTACTCTCTACCCCGGCCCAATATATCATGGGATCTCTCACTTCCATGCCTCTGCTCCTACTGTTCCCTAAGCCTGGAATGCCTTCCCTTCCACTCCTTACTTATCAAATTCCTGCTAATCCTTGAAAATCCAACTCAAATGCCATTTCCTCCATGAAGCCTTTCTGATTTCCTCTCAGTGAGGACCTTCCCATCCACTCCCCCACAGATCTCACATAGCATTTTGTTTGTACCTCCCTAATTATGTAGCAGTGTTATGTATTGGAGTGATGCCTGCATGTCTTCTCCTACCAGACTTTAAGTGGCCTGAGTGCAGGGTCCATGTCCTATTTAAACCAACACATCTCCCCCAGCCACCCAGCTCTCTGACCTGCAAATAATAGATGCTTCATAAACACTTGCTGTTTTCCACATCTAATCCTGTAATATTTGGGGAGGGAGAGGGAGGAAGGAGCAGAAAAACCATAGTGAGTCGATGCCAGAAACCGGGGGGGAGCAGGTGGAACTGGACGAATGCGGCTGAAACCTGGCCTGGGGAGCTCGGCCTCAGATGGTGATGGGCCCAAAGCTTCTTCGGAGCAAAAAGGAGCATTTGTCATTTGGCCTGGGCACAGCTCCCAGATAGGAGATAACAGGTGTCGTTTGTACACTGGGGCCAGTCTGGCAGTCAGATGGGAGCAGGTCCCAGCATTCAGTGGCAGTCACTCAGTGGCAAGATTTGAAGAGAAGGATATCTTTCCATCAGGTTCTCCAGACCCTCATAGCAAGGGAAATCTGTATTCCTCCAGAATTCCATAGCCCTCCACAGATGGTGCAGTTTACTCTTCCCTTAATGGCCAGGGAATAATCTTACATTTTTGTTTCTGGCAGAAAGGAATGAATCCAAAAAAACCTGGTTGAGGTGGGGGGGGGGGGACTGGAAGGACCCCAGCAGGAGCTCAAAGGCCTGGTTTTCCCAGTTCCAACCCGACTCCTGCTGCTCATCAAGATAGAGACTGCTTCTCCCTTCCTCTGTTCAGGCCTCTATTGGGGCCCAATAACTTACCTGTCCTGTGGTAAGGGAGCGGCCGTAGCCAGGGGCCCCAGTCCGGGGGTGAATCCGAGGCGGCACACAGCAGCTGGAATGGAAATAGACACACAAGTCAGAATAGGGTTTGATGGAGGGTCCCAAAAAAGACCATATAGAGGGAAACTTGATCAAGAGACCCTACAGAGGGAACCCTGGGGAAAGACCCCAAGGTAAAAGAGCCCAGAAAGGCCCCCTGCATACAGAGCCCACAGAGGGGCCTGGGTTGCCTCCTTGCCAACCTCCAATCCCCTGTCGGCCACCTCCTTACTTGATTCGAGCCTGGTCCACACTGGATGAACGGCGATAGGCATAGCGGCGGGCAGCTCCCTTTGGAGACATCTTAGGGCTGCCATCTGAATCGCCACTGTCCTCATCCCCCATGGCCTTGATGTAGCTACCACTCCGCATCCTTCGACATGGGATCTCCCCATCCTTGCCCCCGGTTGGATAACCCCCCCATTCATCATGGGGCACCTGCCAAGATCAAGGGAGTAGGTCTCAGCTCCTTTAGGGCAAAAGGACCTTCCCCTCCTCCTCCCTACCCCAAAAAGAAAAAACTCAAGGGGAATGTGACCATCTCTCTGTCTATACCTAAGCCCCCCTTCTACCCTTCTGAGCTCCCTTTCACTCTCTTCACTACCTCCCTTTTCTTGATTATTCTCCTAGACTGCTCTTATCCAAACAGCCCCTTATCCTGGCCACCCCTTTTTCAAAGCTCCCTTATCCTTCCCAAATACTTCTCAGTGTCCTATCACCCTGTTTAACCTCTTCTTACCTTGCCTTCCCTCTTCTCAGTTCCCTCCTAACCCTAACTACCCTCTCGGTATCTTCTCACCCTGACCAGAACCTCCTCAGTGCTCACTTACTCTACCCAATCAGAGTCTGAGGTCAGGATCAAGTTCCTAACCTTGGATTCATTCTTCATCCCTCCTTCTCCATCACATCCATTATATTCATATGACAAATCCTGTTAATTCTTCCTTTTAATCTTCCTAAGGCTTCCTAATTCTGATTCCAAAACCTTCTCTAGATTCCTATTGCCTCTAAGATAAAATTCTGTTATTGTTCAGTCATTTCCAACTCTTCAAGACCCCATTCGGGGTTTTCTTGGCAAAGATACAGGAGTGGTTTGCCATTTCCTTCTCCATCTCATTTTAAAGATGAGGAAACTGAGGCAAATAGGGTTAAGTGACTTGCCCAGGGTCACACAGCTAGTAAGTGTCTGAGGTTAGATTTGAATTCAGAAAGAGGAGTCTTCCTGACTCCAGGCCCAGTGCTCTATCTACTTTGCCACTTAGATGCCCTTTTAATATAAGATACGAACTCCTTATCATGGCATTCTAGGCCTTCCTCGATAAGGCTCCAACCTTATTTCACCCTGTGCTCTGTGTTCCAGTCAAATTGGATGACTTACAAACCCCTGGACCCATCTGGTGTTTAACATTGATCATTATGTGTCTCTCTCTATCCATTCATCCTCTGGAATTTCCAACATAATGCTCTAGGATTATCCATAGCCTACCCATCCTCCCAGTCTCAACCTCAGCCTTTCCTAATCACATTAGCCTTTGGCTATGCCTCCGTTCACCAACTCCTAGTGTCTGTATTGTCTGTGTCTCGCAATCAGGGACTTCACTTTTATCGGTCTCTGTTTATCTCTTTTTGGTCCGCTGCTGTGACTCTTGTCATCCCATCTGGCTTTAAACTCCCTAAAGGCAGGACCTGGATTTTATCCTTCTCTATCTCCCATAGCATAGTCCATCATAGGATTGAGGACATTATAGGCCTTAGTAAAGATTTTTTAAAAGGATGGTTGAATGAGTGGATGGATGGAAGGATGGTGGAAGGGAGGGAGGGAGGGAGGGAATATATCAACAGCAATAAAGTCTCCATAGCTGATGATTGCTGCTCCACTTTGGTCCAGAGAAGTCCCAATGGTTCCAAAGTGAAAACTCAGTCAGCCATAAACAATCACCCACAGGACCCAGATGTAGCCATGGTTAGACTTAGTCATGATCCTCATCCAAGAAGAATAAGCCTGACACTATAACCCAGCACCAGGAACTTTTATGGTGCTAGTGAGTGGATTGGCTGCTCCCCCAGACTTGCTGGGAGAGTGAATGAAAAGTGGTGACTCTGCATGTGCATAGATTAAAGAAATTTATAAAGGACCCATACCACAAAACATCCTGGCTCTGCAGGATTTCATGTTGGCCTTGTTTCTCTCCTTTTTTATGTGTTTCTTTTTGGGTCAGTGACTCAGGCCTTTTTATTCAAAGGAAGACAGAACTTTGTTTCCCTGACCCTGGGAGAATGGAGAATATTGTTGAGAGCTCCATTGATTTATGTATGTCTATGGATAGCAGGAGGGAATTAGGCTTGGTCTGGGCCAATTAAAGGCAGCATGATGTAGTTGATAAGTGCTGACTTTGCAATCAGAAAAGTGGGTTCAAATCCCCATATGACCATGGGTAAGTCTCTGAGCCTGTTTGCCCATCTGCAAATTGGGGGTAATGGTGCCTGTATGACCTACCTCACAGGGTTATGTAAAGCTCAGATAAACTAACGTATGTAATCTGCTTTGCAAACGTTGAAGCCCCTCTTCAAATGTCAGTAATTATTTGTATTATCATGTTTTCAAGGGTCCCGGTTCTGATGAGACTGGTCTAGTTGGATTTACACATCTTAATGTTTGGTTCTAAGGCCTCAGCTGTTCCTAATTTAAGCGAGGGATTTGAAGGAAGAGGAAGCCACTTCATAGAATGAATAAATGAGGATCTGAGAGGAATTAAGTTGGCGGACGTCCCTAGGGACCCTCTCATACTTCCCAGGCCTTGTAAAGAGATGGACTGGTCCAAAACAAGGGAGGACAGTCAATTGGGAGAAGGGGGATGATATAACCTTTAATGATCCCAGGAGGCTAAAACCAAAAATCACTGGCAGAAAGAGAGGATGATAACCTTGTAGAGTTAGAGTTCTCTCAGAAATATCAAGAACAAAATAAGGGGGGTCCTAGGTTCCTCTGAGTCCCACCTCCACCTAGGACTACATGGTTCTCTGCATTCATTAAGTAGGAGTTTACCCAAGAAAGTCACTAAGGAAATTGAGTACGTAAGCAAGTGGGATTCAGCCCAGAGAGGGTGTCTCCAGCTCTCCTACTGCTCCCCACCAACTCACACCCATCTGGACCATGGCTTAATATACAGGAATGATGGGCTCTTGGCCACAGATGGAGTACAGCTAATGAGGGTTGGGAGAGATATATTTGCCTGGTGGTTTGCTGATCTAGTCAAGAAAGCTTTAAACTGAAAAATGAGGAGGAGAAAGAAAAAGCAACTACCTACATTCAACTGCTAAGCCAGACACTATAGAGAAAGCAGGTATAATGCCAGAAGAACAGCAGAAGAGGTGCTCTTTAATTCAAGCTTAAATGATTCTTATGGCCTCAGATAGCCATATACCAATAACTGCTGAATTAGAGCTCTTCATGAAAGAAGGGAAATACAACCTAACAGGTAACACTGAGATTTGATAAAATTCATCTCATGACTAGAATGGGGCAACAGAAGAGTAAACCTTGTTCAAAAAGAAAAAAAATAGGAGAATTAGTAGTAAAATAGCATGGTATTTCAAATAAATTACTCCTATGTGAAAATCTATAAACCAAAATCAAGAGACAGTGAAGAACATTCAGGTAAGGCTCAAAGGAAGGAAAACAGAAACAGTGTTGTGGGAGCAGTATGTTATAGTTCACCCAGCCAGACAGAGGAAATGGATGATGTACAAACATATGGCAGATACATAGAGGAAGGCTATAATAGTTATGGGAAACTTCAACTGGAAATCTATTGGAGGTCTCCACCATTACTAAAAGCAGAGTAGCCATTGCTATTTTTGGCCACTTTCCTCTACTGTGTCTAGAAGGTAAAGATCACATTTCACCCAGAGCATAGACACTATGAACTGAACTGATGAGAGAAGAAGAATTTCCTTCTCCTGCTCTCCATCTTTTACCCCAGTCCAGAGAAATGAGCCTGGGGGTGTTTGTTTCTCTTCTGTATCATTCATTCTTCCTGGCTTCAGATGCCACAGATGAGCTCCACCAGAACTGGAAGTTGGAACCATGGTGACCTTAGAGCCAGGACTCCAGGATGGAAGCCCTGAGAAGCCAAGGTGCCTGGGACTAAAGACCTAGGTGAATTTTGGACTAGGAACTGGGTATGTGCCCTCTAGGAAATGAACTAAGCTAAGAACCTAATTCCTTCCCCTTCCCAGAGGCTGAGGTGGTGCAAAGAGAGGGTGAGGGGTGCAGGAGATTATGCCTCCCACGTGTTGGGGGTGGGCCAAGTAAGTTTATATGTTAGTGACTATACCTTCTGAAGTAAATATATCTGTGTAAATGCTAGAAAAAGCAGAACAGCTGATAAATCATTTTATTAGTGTAATAATAATTTCATCCTTCAGAAGGTAAAGGAGATGATGAAGGGAATGGCTGGAATGGCTATTCTGTATCTGATTATGACCAAAAGAGACACACTGGTTACTGAAGAGGAAACAAAAGCAATCTTGAGATGATGTGATCACCCCATCTTAGAGATCATGATAGAAAAGGAGGACAAAGTCTGATGGCCACACTAGACTTTCAGGGGCAGGTTCCCTTCTAGGTCCTTGGATGTGGCCTTTTGACTTAGTCCAAGCTTTACAGAACAAATCCTTTTATTAAGAGGATTTGTTCTGTGAAGTTTGGATTCAGTCAAAGGGCAGCACTTGAGGACCTAGAGGGCCACATGTGGCCTCGAGGCTGCAGGTTCCCCAGCTCTGTGGGTGAACAGATTTCTTAGAGTTCAATCTCACCCTGAACCTGAGACTCTAGAAGAGAAGATGGAGCATGAGAGAAAGGAGAATCTCAAGAACAACATTCAGATGACGGAAACACAAACCATACCAGACTAAGCTTATTTCCTCTTTGTGATAGGGTTACCAGGCTATATATTAGGGAAATGATATTTAACATAGTACAGTAAGATTTCACTAAGACACTTGTCAATATCTTTGAGGGGGAAATAAAGAAATATGGGCCAGATAATTGTAGAGTTGGATGAATTCAGAACTCATTGAATGACTAAGTCTAAAGAATATTGATTAATGAACTTATTTTTAACAACTAATGGGAGGGTCACAAGGCTTTATACTTGGATTTATTCAATATGGAGAACGTATCACACTTGCTATGTTTATCTCTAGAAGGCACAAGGAGGATCAGTGCTAAGAGAAAGAATGCAGCTCAATATAAGGAGCAACCTGCTTATATTCTATTGTGCAGCAATGGAATAGATTGCCTTGGAAGATAGTGAGTTCCCCCAGTCACTGGAGGTCTTCAAACAGAAGTTGGATGACCATTTTCCAAAGATGCATGAATCTTTACAGGTGACAGAGGTTGGACTAGATGACCCCTCAGATCTCTTCTAGCTCTG